CAGTGCGTAGTCCAAGAGTGATCAAAAGAGACTTCAGGGCCCTGGGACCTGGTAAGGGAATCTGTATCAACTGGAATCCAGTTGCAGGCAGTGACATTGGAAGAAACAGACACGTCCAGTCTATTGATACATGGGTCTTTGGCCGGCGTCACCGCCACAGTTTTGGGTTTTCTGATAATGGAATGTCCTACAGGACAAGCCTGTGCTACCAGGCTTGCTGGTGCCAGAGGGGATTCACCTTTCTCAAAGGGGGAAGAAGGTGTTTGCTCAGGAGCTCACTGACAGGGCTTTAAACTAGATTTGAAGGGGGAGGGCGATAATGTCAGGCTTGATCAAGACAAGCTGAGAGCACCTGAAGAGCAGCAGAAAGGAATTCCAGACACTCCAGCCAGTAAGTCAGCTTGATAAGGGGCCCAACTTAAATACCTCTGTGCAAACGCAGGTAGCACGGAGGAATAAACAAGAGGAGTTAGATATGCGCATATGCCTGCAGGACTAAGATCTAACTGGCATCACAGAGACATGGTGGGATGAATCCTGTGACTAGAGTGCTGGAATGGAAGGATACAGGCTCTTTAGGAAGGACAGGCAGGGGAGAAAAGGAGGAGGTGTTGCCCTCTGTGTCAGTGACCAACTGGAGTGCATGGACCTCCACCTGGGGATGGATGACTGAGAGCTTATGGGTCAGAGTTAAAGGGAGGGCAGGGACAGGTGACATTATAGTGGGGGTCTGCTACAGACCACCTGACCAGACAGACCAAGCAGATGAGGCCCTATAGACAGAGAGGAGCAGCCTTATATTCACAAGCCCTGGTCCTCATGGGCGAGTGGGCATCAACCACCCCAGTATCTGTTAGAGGGTCAACACAGCAGGGCATAAGCAATCCAGGAGGTTCCTGGAATGCATTGGTGATAACTTCCTTCTCCAAGTCATAGAGCAACCAATGAGGAGAGGTGCTTTGCTGGACCTTGTTCTCAGCAACCAAAAGGAGCTGGTGGGGAACGTGAAGCTCAAGGGAAGCTTGGGCTGGAGGGACAATGAAATGGTGGAGTTTAGGATCCTAAGGGCAGTGAGGAGGGCACTCAGCAGGCTCACTACCCTGGCCTTCAGGAGAGCAGATTTCAGCCTCCTCAGGAATGTGCTTGGAAGAGTACCATGGGAAAAAGCCCCAGAGAGAAGAGGGGCCCAAGAAAGCTGGCTAATATTCAAGGATCACCTCCTCCTAGCTCAGGAGCAGTGCATCCCAACAGAGACAATGTTGGGCAGAAATGCCAGGAGGCCTGCCAGGATAAACAAGTAGCTCCTGGACAAACTCAAACACAAGAAGCCTCCAGAGGGTGGAAGTAAGGACAGGTAACCTGGGAGGAATACGGAGAAATTGTCTGAGCAATCAGCACTTAGGCTTTTAGCTCTGGGGTCCCCAACACAAGAAGGACATGGAGCTGTTGAAGCGAGTCCAGAGTAGGACCATGAAGATGATCCAAGAGCTGGAGCACCTCTCCTGTAAAGACAGGCTGAGAGAGCTGGGGTTGTTTAGCCTGGAGAAGAGAGGCCTCTGGGGAGACTTTCTAGCAGCTTCCCAGTACCTAAAGGGGGCCTACAAGAAAGCTGGAGAAGGACTTTTTTGCAAGCGTATGTAGTGATCGAACAAAAGGTGATGGATTTAAACTGAAAGAGGGGATATTTAGATTAGATCTAAGGAAGAAGTTCTTCCCTCTGACGGTGGTGAAGCACTGGATCAGGTTGCCCAGAGAAGCTGTGGATGCCCCATCCCTGAAAGTGTTCAAGGCCAGATTGGATGAGCGTTTGAGCAACATGGTGTAATGGAGGGTGGCCCTGCCCATGGCAGGGGGGTTGGAACTAGATGATCTTTAAGGTCCCTTCAACCCGAACCATTCTATGATTCATGATTTGTTTTGATTTATTTGCTTCATCATTTGATTCTATGATACTATTTAAATACTTGTCCTAGTTTTCATCAATCACTTGGTCATGCTTTCCTGAAGTAAATTAAACTTCTGTGTCAAGAAGAAAGGACTGCAGTAAGTTTGAGCCATTCCAGTCTCATTTTGATTCTGCATTCGGTTACAATGGGTATGAGGAATCCTCACTATCCCCTCTGCTGTTCTGGGGACAAGAGGAAATGGCCTCAAGTTGCACCAGGGGAGGTTTAGATTGGATATTAGGAAAAATTTCTTCACTGAAAGGGTTATTAAGCATTGGAACAAGCTGTCTGGGGAATTGGTTGAGTCGCCGTACCTGGAGGTATTTAAAGGACGTGTAGATGTTGTGCTTAGGGACGTGGTTTAGTGGTGGACTTGGCCGTGCTGGATTAACGGTTGAAGTTGATGATCTTGAAGATCTTTACCAACCTAAATGATTCTATGATCCTATGACTTCTATCCAGCTCAAGTACACAAACTCCTTTTCTCATTCCCACCGCTATTTCAGCAGAGCTCTGACTCAAACTTTATGCCTCATATCTTTGACTTTGGAGGCTGGATTCTAAAATTAATGATGATAAACTCATTATGAGTAATCTTCCCAGGCTCAGAGAAAAGTGCAATGTCTATGAATGCAAGAGAACACCATTCCATTCATGTTTTGCGTCAAAGCGCACAGTGGGAAAGAAGCTTTGCTCTTAAAACCTAGATTCTATTTTAATCTTGTAACTACAGGTGATAAAAACCATGTGAAATAAATAATTTACAATTCAAATAGTAATACATCTGCAATATATTATAAATATAGTTTAAAAATTAATTAATTCATATTCTTAATTAGTATAAAGTTTAATTTTATGCTTTGTATAGAAATGGTAGCTTTACTTGTTACCGCTGTCTCAGCAGAAGGAAACAAAAATGTTCCTAAGTAGCTAAATAGCATTGGGAAATTAAAAAATACTTTATTTTGCTTTTTTTGGTAATAGAAAAATAGCCTTTAAAAATACATTGTTAAACATATGGGCTTGTACTAAAGTAGAATTGTATATTATATACAGTAAGGCAGTATATAAAATATTATCCCACTATCTTTTTCATGTTTGGTTTGTTTGGACTAGGATATGAACGGGATGCAAAGTTTTCCATCACATTGAAACAAAGCAAAAATATATTTAGAAGGATATGCTGATTTACTGTAATTTGTTGACTATATTCTCTTTTATATGTGATTTGTCATACATGAGCTCCTTTTTTCTTAAGGATTGAGAAAAAATATAAAGAAAACTTAATCTAGTGTCAGAATGCATTCAGAAAAAATACATTGTAGATCAGAATGCTGTTGTGCAACGATTTATCTGATTTAGGAACTGCTCAGATCACTATGGTGTACTGACTGACTCGTAACAATTTTCATAATTGTTGAATCTGCAGTATTCCCTCAGTTTAATCAACTCATAGAAGCTCTGCAGAGCTGAATAATTAGTTTACAATGTATTTATCATGGCAGATAACATCCATTTCTTCATTTCCCTGTGTCAGACACGTGTCAACGCTTCAAGATCTACTTCCATGATTGTAATTCAGAATACCTCAACCCACAGTTTGTTTTATTCTCTTTATAATACACATAGGAGGCTAGGCTTTTTTAAGGAACTATTTGTTATGTGGTTTTGGTTTACTGTACATAACTACTAAGTATGCACTGTACTAACTACTAGTTATTTAAAGGAGGGCATAAAAGAAGATGGATCCATGTACTCAGATCCACTGGTCTCTCTTTTGCATTCGTTTGGAACTGTCAGACAGTAGCTAATATTTTTCTCAGCTTGGCCCTGGTGAAGGTTCTGAGATGTTTCCATTGCAGGTTCTTGAGACACAGAGGTGTGCTGAATGCGTGAATCTGGCATTAATACCAGAATATTATGGTCCACAACTGTTGAAACCTTGGTATATTCTTTGCTGGTTCCTGGAACAGTGTATTTTTCGGTCTTGCCACTGTTTTCTTTATGTTTCAGTAATACTGCTGGCTCCTCATCTTGTCTGACTTTGTGAACTTCTACATAATCCATTAGTTCAGGATTCAAAAAAGGCGACTTGTCATTAGGTCTGTTTTGTTTGACCTGCACTGGGGTTTGGTCAGTTTTGGAATGCAAATTCTCCATCTCTCTTTGCTTTTCCACGTCGTGGTGGACAGTTTCAGTGATAGGATATTGTGACTGATGCTTTTCTTCATTTCCCACCAAAACTGGTGCAATGTTCACATTTGTGGTACTCAGAGTTATCATATGTGCATCTGCAGTACTGTGGTAGGCAAACATAGGAGGCTGATTATAAGGTAACTGAGCTGCAGGCCATGTGGACGATTTTGTACTCTCAGTGTTAAAAAGGAGTATTTTCTGTTCTGAGGCTATGCACTGAGTTTCCCAGATCCTTTTTCCTCCTTTACTTTCTTGAACGTCTTTTATATCTTGTGTCTGAAGTGTTGATGGAAGGGCACGGGACTCCTTGCACTTCTCAGAAAGCAGAGAAGGGCTGTCACAGCTCCCTCGGCCTGAGTCACTGTCTGTTTCCGTGGATATCATTTTTGCATTTTTACTGGGATGACCATTGTCATGGCTTGGCATGAGTTGCTGGTCCTCACTGTCCTCTACCTCCAGATATTCTATTAGTAGTTCCTCACAGTCTGATGTTGGAGGGAAACCATGACAACCAAGAGCACTCAATAATTCTTCAGATTTTCCTGTCTAAGGGCATAATAAATAAGATATATTTTTTCACTGTTAACTTTAGGGTTTATCTGACTAGAACAATTGTGAACAATCTATGTATTTAATATACAAATACTTTAATAGTTATATTATTAGACCTAAACTGGATTTCTACTGCTGCAGAAAAGAGTGGAAGAACTTGTGTTCCCTCAGTGGGGAGACGCAATCCCAGAATTCATGTTTCTGAAATAGGAGGACTAGAAAGCTTTTGGCAGGTATGGGTCTCACGGGTTTAACAAGACGGAAATGGAGGAGAATGATGGAGCACCCATGTCCTGTCTTCTCAGCATGGCAAGAGACTATGGAGAGCAACTTCCATAAGAACTACTAGGAAGACCACACAGGCATTGGCTCTTGTGGTGTCCCAGGGAACAGCTGCAGTCACAAACCCTGTTCTCAAATGCCATCCTGCTACTAGTGCAAGGCAAGACTCTGCCTGGAAGCGTTGCTTGTTTTTAACATTAAATTAATTGAAGCTGGTTTATCCTTTACTATGGTAATTGTGTTTGCTAGTACATAATTTGGAAAAGTGATTAATGGTGAATTCTTTTGTTATTATCAGTGGTACTCACCTCTAACAGATGTGTATCTATGCCTTTTATCTTTGGTCCCGGAACTGGTGGTAGGATAAAGGCTATCATTCTGAAAAAAACAGAACAAACACACAAGGTATCAGTATGGGCCCTATCTCTCTATTTGTTCTCCCGTTTCCTTGGAATGTGACTGACATTTTAACTAATTCTCCCATATCTGGTACCTCTCTGTTGGACCTGTTTCCTGTTTGTCTCTCAGGCCAGGTAATTTACAAATCCAGTTACAGTTCATAAGTTACCCTTAGATGTATTTATAAGACAGAGAACAGTACAAAAGTTGTTCAACTGGAAAAGTAACACTACTAATGTCCTTTTATTGTCCTTTGCCCCTTAACCTCCAGTACTCTAATATCCTCATAACTTCATCACTGGCCATGAAACAGCTATGTGGGGCACTAGTTCAGAAGCACTAGTGGGCCTGTATGTACATACGTAACTGTCAGCTGACTACTACTAAACAGGATTTATGATATATGACTTCTGATGGCTTTTCCATCAACAGTTTCTGTCTTTCTCCTACTCAGCCAGTACTTTTTGCAAGACTTGTACAGAAGCGATAATCTTTGCAAGGCCTTTCTCTTTCAGATTTGATTGAAGTTAGCCAGTGTTCTAATAAATTAAGTGGGGAATTGACAGACAGGTGGGCAGAAAGACAACCTCATTTAAACCTCTTCTTTAGGAAATCGGGGCAAAACCGAAAGTTATGTCTTCTACAGGAGCAGTGATACTCCAAACAATGTTTGCCGAATACTTACATGGCTAACCAAGATGGTCAGATATAATAGACATGTGTGTTTACCAACTGAGAATTTAGCCTGGTTTTCCTAAAGAACAGAAATACCTCTTTATCAGTTGTGAATTTAAAGTCGAATACCTGTAACTTATAGTTTATAAGAGAAGCAAAACCTGTAGGAAATTGGATCAAATGTTAGAGGTTTATTTTTGAAAAGTTTGCTGAGATTTTTAAATCCATGTGATTGTGAAATTTGTGACTTACCTGTAGCCTTTCAAAACCATTGTCCAGCTCATGATTAAACATATAACAGATGACAAAACACCAACGATGATCCACACAACCATATCTTTTACTCTAAAGTCTAGGAAATAAACAGAATAATTTAAGGACACATATCTGGCATATGTATAGTCAGCATGCAAAAAAAGTCTCAAATTACTTTTATTTTAAAAATTGGTCTAAACTGCCAAATTTGGCATTGAATCTAGAGGCCTTTACTAGCATAGATGATCTTAACAATCATTGTAATATTTGATAATAAGTATACTTTTTATTAATGGCACTGTGCAGGAAATAAACTCTCTTGGAAAAATGATACAGAAATATATGAAGAGGGAAATTCCGTCTCAGCCAGTTATAGCAATTGAGTTCAAATCCAGTTATGAAGTCATTTCATTATCAAATACATATCATACAATTAATTAAATGGTGAGTTATATGATCTAGAACTAGATATTTTTGGGCATTTGTATTGTAACATGACACTTTTTATATTGAGGTGTTTATTTCAAGTTCATTCCAGATAAAGTGTAATGAAGAGCTGTTGCTGTCTGAAGGCAGTCACTCTTTGTTGTCTATTTAGCAGTTTTATGCAGTTACCAGTATTCTTTTAGTTAAAAACTACCATCATGAGAACAAATGAAGCAAGAACAGAAAGGACATGTTTTAAATAACTAAAGAAATGGATTCACTTTCTTAACTCCAAAAAGTAATGAAGGGGAAAGCTAACTGGATATGGTGCACGAATGCTGAGAATTCCGTTACCTTAGAATAATGTTCTTACCTGTCCTCGGGAGACCATGGGATGTCAATCTGCACGGGTGTCACAAACAGCTAACAAAAGTATTACGTGAACTTCCATGTAATAAAAATTACTGCAGGGATGCCTGGCCACTCACCAGTAGGGATCTGAATATACTTTTCTGAGCTCCATTCACTCCATGATCCATGGTGGTCTGGTTTGCAGTGGATCTGTACAATGTACTTCTTTCCAGGATTTAAACTAAACATTTTATATTGTGTTTGCTGTCCAACAAAAATAGTCTGGAAATTAAATAAAAATCATAAAATGCATGTAAAATTGAGTCATTTTTCTATGAAAATCACAGCTAGGTTTAAGTCTTGATAACCAAGTTGGGAATATAGAATGCATCTGGATAGTTTCCTAATGATTGTCATGCAGTCATGGAATAACGGTACATTTATTTTATTTCTATAGCTCAGCTTTCTAACATAATTCAGTGGGAATGAGATCTGGCTCTAGTATACTGTGTAAATTAAAATACTACCAAAACACATCATGAGCATATGGCAAATATGGAGGAACTGTGGTAATGGTGGAAACTACAATGGTGAGAGGAGGAGAAGGAGGCAAGAAACAGAGATGAGGGAAGAAAACGCAGTGAGAAAAGAAGGAATGTGGAGCTGGTGGAACTGCACAGGCTGATAAAAAAAAGTGAATCTTGCAACAGCCGGGGGGCTGGGAAGTGCAGTGGCAGGAGGAAGGAAGGAGAAGATACAGAGATGGCTGGGAAGTATTGCAGCAGACAAGGAGGGAATGCAGCCAAATATCAATAGCTGGAGACTTTAATTTACCACCCAGTTGTGTGAGTTACAGATCTTGGCTATAGACAATTATTATGTTGTGCCCATGACAACTGTCACCTAATGGCTACTTGTACAAATTTAAATGATTTTACATAATGTCACTGAGCTTTCTGTTACCTTAGAAGAGCTTGTGCTTAGGAACAAATCATCACAAAAGAAACTTGACTAAATGATTCATAGATTCATAGATTCATAGATT